CAATGCACCAGACATAATGTATTATCATTGTTTTGAGAGCTTGGGCCTCGATTTTGCTTTGTTATAAAGGTATGATGGTCCTATTTACGACTTCAATAATCAACTAGTCCTAATTGAAGGGGTTCTTACTCTTCATGTGGCTTTTGGGCATGGCTAAACTTATGTCACTCCCTCAGTTCAATTTCTGGTTGTTAAGATGAGTTCTTCTTTCAATGTTGTCATTGATCGACCTACACTAATAGAAATCTGAGCAGTTATCTCTCAATCACATTTGTGTATAAAGTTCCCCACACCTATAGGAATAGTGACATTAAAGGGTAATCAGGATGTAGCTAGGCACTATTATATTACCTTGATTACACGATCTTGGAAAAAGGTAAGTCAAATGCCAGAAGCTACTTCATAAGAATTTTCAGATAGACAACAGGTAATAGGGGAGGAAATACTTGATAATCGATCAAAAAATGAAACTTAAGTTGCTTTAGTTGAGGATGTTGAGAAAGTACAGATTGATGACAGAGATTCGAATAGGAAAACTCAGATTGGGACCAACTTGAACCTAGAAAAAAGAGCAGAGTTAATAGCTTTCCTTTGAGCTAACAAAGACATGTTTGCTTGGACTTTAGTGGATATGCTAAGGATCCCAATCTTGGTATCTGTGCACAAGCTCAGCACCAATCCCTTTAAAAGGTTAGTTGCACAGAAATGATATCTCTTCTAGTGGGAGAGACTTAAGGTGATTAAGGAAAAGGTGGAGAAGCTCTTACAAGTTAGCTTCATAAAAAGAATTGATTATTGTGAGTGAGTTGCCAACCTAGTTTTAGTTAAGATAGTTAATAGTAAATGGAGGATATGCATCGATTGCACTAATCTCAACCACACTTCTCCTAAGGACTGCTATCCAATGCCGAATATCAATAAATTGGTTGAAGTAACTTCCGAGAACAAGAGATTAAGTATCTTAGATGCATATTCAGGCTACCATCAAGTCTCCATGGCCCTCAAAGATGAAGAAAAAACTTCTTTTTATGCCAGTGGTGGAATTTACTACTATGTTATAATGCCCTTTGGTTTAAAGAATATCAGTGCCACCTATCAGAAGATGGTAGCCATTATGTTCCAAGCCTAGATTGGAAGAAATTTGAAAATTTACATTGATGATATCGTTGTGAAAAGTTTGAAGGTCGAGGACCATATAGTTGACCTCGATGAAACATTCAATAATTTGAGGAAGAACAAGATGCGATTCAATCCAACAAACTGCATCTTTGGGCTGGAGTTTGGAAAATTTCTCGGTTTCATGGTATCCATGAAGGGAATCAAGGTCAGTCCTAAAAAGATTAAAGCAATAGAAGAGATAGGACCTCCAAAGCCTATTAAAAATGTATAGAGATTAATTGGAAAAGCGGTAGCCCTTCACAGGTTCGTTTCAAAATCAACTGAAAGATGCCTCTCATTTTTTAAGATTATGAGGTCAGCTACTTAGAGAGATGAATTAGGTAAGCCAAAAAAGTTCGAATAAACACCAGAATGTCAAACTACATTCAACAAGCTTAAGTCTTATCTTAGCTTGCCTCTGTTATTGACAAAGGCTATTGATGGTGAGATCCATATCTCGGAATTTCAAATGAGGCAATTAGTTCTGTATTAGTGAGGGAAGAAGGAAAATAGAAGAAGCATGTATATTATATGAGCAAAGTATTACATGGAGTAGAGTAAAGACACTTGATTACTGAAAAAGCTACTCTAGCTATTATTACTTCAGCCAGGAAACTAAGGCCATATTTTTAGTCACACTTGATAATTGTCTTCACAGATCAACCTCTTCGACAAATCTTACAAAAATTAGAGTGTCCAGGCAAGTTAATCAAATGGGCAGTTGAGTTAGGGGAATTTGAAATAACATTCCAATAAAGGTCGGCAATATGAGCTCAAGCATTAGTAAATTTTGTTGTTGAGTGCACCTCTGATCAATCAAGTCTAGATCTTGAACTAGATGCATGGGTTTTGTATGTTGATGGGGCATCAAACAATAAAGGGTTAAGAGTTGGAACAGTCCTAGTAGGCTCAGATGGTTACCGAAGCGAGCACGCTTTGAAGTTTAACTTTAATGCAACTAATAATATGGCTAAATATGAAGCACAATTGCTCAGTCTGCAACTAACATTAAAGCTAAAAATTAGAGTAATTTAGATCTACAATAACTTTTAGCTTTTGGTTAATCAAGTCAACTCAATTTGTGAGGTAGTAGATTCTACTTTAATGAAGTATGTGACACTAGTGTCTTAACTTAGGTGTAGATTCAAAAAATTCTCTTCGAGTAAAATATCCAGATCTGGGAATGAATTAGCAGATTCACTTTCAAAGTTTGTGTTTGATAGTGTTGACTCAATGTACTCCAAGAAGGGGGTGAATTGGAGTTCCAAAAATTCTCCCTTTTTTGCAACCACAAAACCAAAATCAAAGAGAGTAGAGAAGAGCTTGCTCAATGATTTATAAAGGTTCGGTCCAACCACTTGGAGCCTAGTCCTCTACCTTGGCTTCACTCACCAAGGATTTCCTCTACACTCTCCATTAACAACAACAAGGGTGGCTTAAAGGAGCCACTCAATCCTTTTACAAGAAGAAAGGTGTTTCTCTCAAATCTCACCCCTTTACACTTAAACCCCACGAATCCTCTCTATAAATCACTCTTGAACGATTAATCACACCCCCAAGATCACTCACAAATAGAACAAGAAGAGGATTACAACTAAAGATCTCTCAAAGATCAAAAACTCAAGTTAAAGCTCATGTAGGTAGGTAAAGATATTCAATACAATGCTCTCTAAACTTCTTCAAGTCTGTTACCAACCATATTTATAGCCCCTTGCTCGAAAATAGCCGTTTCTAGCTGTTGGGGGTCATTAAATGCTCTGTAGGATGCAAAGCTTGAGTTGCAGGATTGTCAGGAGAGTTGGCTTAACTTCCTAGAGTAGGCTTAACTTCCTAGAGCCGGCTCTATAAAGCTAACTCACCATTTCTGCAGCCGGCTTTGCGGGACTCTGCACATTCTGTTTTCTTCGTAGAGCCAGCTCCAAAACCCAAAGCTAGCTTTGCGGGTTTGCTGCACATTCTATTTTCTTCCACAGACGGCTGGAAAAAACCTAGAGCCAGCTTTGGTATTCTGACTTTAAAAAATATTAATTATTCTTCAAATAAGTCAACCGTTGTGCATTAAATGCACCCTTACAGCCGATTGTAAAGTTAGAGCCGGCTCTGCATCTTTTCTCTGCGTGCGCCAAACAACGGACCTATCTTTACCCGTAGAGTCGGCTGCAGCTTCCAGAGCCGGCTCTCTGCACTTCCATTTCACCAGAGCCGGTTGCAACTTTTAAGAGCCGGCTCTCTGCACATACTCAAGCCTTTCTGGTCCATTTTTAAGTGCAATCCAAGTTTACTTGCAATCTTTTAGCAACTTAACTATACACTTAAATAAACCAATTAGTCACTCAAACGTGTTTTGTAATCATCAAAATCCCAAGTACAATAGATAGTTCTTAAGCTATGAGGTCAATCTTTGTTAAAGTTCTCAATGAACCCAGTTTTCATAAGCCAATGGTGATGGAGATCAGTGTAGACTAGAACACACCAAGCTGGATGTATCCAATTAAGTCCTTCTTACAAGATGGATTAGTTCCTGAAGATAAGTGAGAAGAGATGAGATTGAGGCGAAAGGCAACACGATACACCCTAATCAATGGGATCCTTTACAAGAGATCATTCTCACTCCCTTTGCTCCATTGTTTGACTCTTATAAGGCTGAATATGCACTTCGGGAGGTGTATTAGGGTGTTTGTGGAAGTCACATCGGTGCCAAGACAATGGGTCACAAAGTTCTCAAGTAAGGATACTACTGGCCTAATATGCCAAAAAATGCCACAGATTTCATGTAAAGGTGCCCAAAGTGCCAATTTCTTTGCACATTTGACTCATTAGCCAGTAGAAGAGCTCACAAACTTGGTAGCACCATGGCCATTTGCTTAGTGGGGAATTGATCCCTTGGGTCTATTTGCGAAAAGAGTTGGAGAAGTAACTCATTTGATAATTAAAGTCAAGTATTTCACAAAGCTACAATTTACCTCAGTGTACCACCTGGAATCCAATGGAATGGTGGAATCAGTCAACAAATCTATTCTAGAAGGAATAAAATTGAGGTTGGAGCAGCATAAGGCCAGGTGGGCAAACGAGCTCAACAATGTGTTATGGGCATATAAAACTACCAACCGAACTGCCACAAGTAACACCTTCTAACTTGGTTTATTTTCATGCCATTTTCTTATGTTTCCTGCTGCTTTCATTCTAGTTAAAACAGATAAAACATATAAAGTATATACTAAAACAATAACCCAATGAAATAGGCGAGACACCATGCCACTTGACCTTTGGTATCGAAGCAGTCATTCCTATTGAAATAGGGGTCCCAAGCTTCAAGGTCACCCATTTTGATGAAGAACAAAATGGATAGTTGCTTTGGGAAAACCTTGATCTGCTTACTGAAGTTAGAGGTAGAAAATAGTCAACTTTTATAACAAATGAGTTCGTCCTCAAACGTTGAAAGTTGTCGACCTTGTTCTCAGGAAAGCTGGTCTGATAGGGTTTGAAACTTGATTTGGTAATCTAGCCCCAAATTGGGAAGGTCCTTATACCATGGTCGAAGTGTCACACCCTGGTGCTTATATTCTCTAAAACGCAAAAGGGAAAAGAATTCCTTGAGTCTAGAATGTCAACAATCTAAAAAAATTTTACCTTTAATTCAACCCTTTAAGTGGATTTTGTCCAAAATTACTTCACATTTCATGATTCCTATGTCTGAGGTGAATTTGTTCCAATGTAAATTTGTTATTCAATTCAATCTTGAACTTACATTCCATTAATGTGAATTCCACCTTATATTTGAGGTGATCCTAGATTTTATTTCAATCTTTATCTTAAATAAATATTAAACGAAATGGTTGAGCAGAACAAATTCCAATGTATTAATGAAATAAATGAGCAAAAATTACAACCAATCTATTCAAAACTTAAAACAAAGTACAAAATCGAAACTAAGGTTAGTTACTTTGCTGGAGAAGGTCATTGGTTCACCTCCTATTCCCTTTCATTGTTACTCACCTCAACTTCATCCTCTTCTGCTTCCTTTTCCTCCATTATGATGAAGTTGAAGTCAAAGTTTGGAGGAAAATGGTGTGGCCATCACTGTCATGATCCTACTTCAGCTTGACATTGGGACGGAAGTCAACTGTCTTATTTTCACCATTCTCCTCCACTCTTCCTTCTTGATCTCCGAAGGTAAGGATGGTCACATCCAACTTAGGATGTTGGGCCCTTACCCTCTCCATGTAATTCATAAACGCAAGAATTGTAGTGGGTAGCCGATAGAGGTTAACAATGTTATTGAAGGTGTTGAACTTGAGAAACTTGGCAATGTGGTTCTCGATAGTGTTGTGCACTTGAAGATTCACACTCTTCTCTACCTCAATAGCAGTCTTCCTCACTTCTGTAATCTTTTTGTCTTGAGCAACTATCTTGTCCTCACACATCTTCATCTTTCTTTCTTCAAAAACAAGAGTCATTTTCAACGACTCATTTTCCTCCTAAAGCCGCTTGAACTGTAGAGTTATCTCCTAAAAATCCCTCTCTACCTCTTCCTTCCATCTTCCTAACTCCTCATTCTCCTCCCTTAAATTGTTTTTATCCTTGAGGCTCTCAAAAAACTCGTTTGACAAAGCATTCACTACTTTAGCATCTTACAACATGTAACACCATTAAAAAAAAAAAAAAAAAAGCTAGAGAAGAAGTCAAAGTCATTAACCATATCTCCAAGACATGGTGAACAATCCCAACGCCACCATGGGTCAGTACCTCGTCCCTTGCCTGGCATAGATCCACCTCAGGAAAAGTAGAGTTGATAAACCTCTTCGTAGCTATTCTACTCTTGGTATCATAAACGCTGCTTTATTGCGATGGTGGAGGAATGAGACCTTTTCCTTTACCATGGGTTACAACTCCAACTTCTTTGAGTTTTGGGTCAAGCTCAACCAAAGGAGGATGAGGAACAAACTCCACCATCTCATCCCGCCTTTCTTCTTACTGCTCTTCCACTCTCCTTTTCTTTTAAGCGATGCCAACTTCTTCACTCCCTTTTCGTTTGAGCTTTGGCCTCAACCTTTCAACGTTTGGATCTAGAATTGCTGTGCTGAATGTCTGCCCCTTTTAGTTACCTCTTCCAACTCCCATGTGACCTCTGATTGCTATAGAAGCCTTTGACTTCTTTTCTAGCTTCTTAAGGATGATCACACCTTCAGTTGCAGCTAGGAACTTATCCATCTCAGTTGCAAAATTAAAAATCATTAAAAATAAGTATCAGAATCTAACTTCAACTTACACAACATAAAACAAGCACCCACCTTCACTTAATGAGCTTGCTCCATGGAGCTCAGCTACGTCTATAACTTCTAAACTGGTGAGATACATAATGTCTATCACATTATCACCCACCTTCACTTAATGAGCTTGCTCCATAGAGCTCACTCCATAGAGCTCAGCTGCGTCTATAACTTCTTAACTGATGAAATACATAATTTCTTCTTCACCGCTATTCAAACTATGCTTATTTTGATTTCCCTTCTTCACCTTCCAAGTGGACAACACTTCCACTTTTGCATCTCTTCTTCCTCACTTAGGATCATCAACAAAGAAAAATTTCTCCTTCCACCCTGTAATGGATGAGGACCCTAAGCTAAATAAATTTATTTTTTCCCTATTGGATACTCGAGGTGTAAAATAGTACCATCCTTTCTCTTTCTTACTCCCACCCTTTATCACAAAAAAAAAAAAAAAATTAAACTTATTTACAGTAGGCACCCTACCACCTTGAGCTCAACAATAAACTAAGAAACCTATCACCACCCTTATTGTGTTTGGGGCAAGTTGATTTAAACCTATGTTATAATCTAGCAATAACCCAACCAAAAGCTCAAGGATGGGAAACCTTAGCCTTGTTGCTAAATGGTGAGCATAAATAGGCATCCAATGGTCCTAGGGTGCTGAGCACGCCCTCTCTTCCACTTCAGCTAGCTTAATTAACACTTGGGGTGAAAGGTCATATGTTTCAACTAAATGAACGAAGCTACTCCTACTTTGCCATTCTATTTCATACCCCATTACCTTAGACATGATGTTTGTTGTTTCATCATAACACTTATTTCGACCCCCCTCAACTTCTAAAATATTAGAAGGAATACCCTCATCCACACCTATCATTTCCTTAGTCCTCTCAAACCTAAAAGACTTAGTTTCTATAGTCATTTCTTCATGCTCCATCACCCTAACCTCCTCATTTCCTCCAAAACTCAATGTTTCTTCTGACAACATATCTTTAGTCTCGTAACTCTAGTTGTATGAAGTAGGAGGTGGGATGTAGTCAGAATCTTCAATAAACTCTAACTCACGCTCTATATCACTTTCACTTCTAAATCTAACCTCTTGAAGAAGACTTAGATCTAAGTCAGAAAGGGTGAAAAGAGAATAAAACTCTTCGCTTGTATCAGAATCAGCAAAACTCATAAGTTACCTGATCTCGGTAGTGTAGAATTTAGCATTGAAACCAAAAACACTGCATGCAGGAGTTTGGTCATTCTACTAGCTTTGTTGGAATCTTGGCAGCACTTCGATAGCAAATACAACAAAGTAATAAAAATTTATAGAAGTATGGCTATATATACTAATACGCATTTTGGCCTCAATAGCTACGATTAATTCCATTTGATGGCCATAATTATATTGTTTCGAAATCAACTGTTAATTTGTTAAGAACCATTTCAAACTTGACAATTCATTTTGGTTGCAGTCGTTGAAGCTATGATAGTTACTTTTTACAACTTGTATTTATTACACACGTCTTTCAAGGACAGCTGTTGTATCGCGTACTAACCCATCTTCAAGCTTATTATATAGGCCCAACTAGGCCCAACCCAAGTTTTTTTGTTTACTTGAGCTACGGCCATAAAAACATGACTACATGTCAAGTATTTTTACTTTGGCTATGGCCATAATAACATGACTACATGTCATGTATTTTTTACTTCGACTACGACTATAATAACATAACTACATGTCATTCATTTTTACTTCAGTTGTGGCCATGATAACACGACTACGTGTCATACATGTCCACTTTGGTTGCATCCATAATAACATGGCTACATGTCATATGCTTTTATTTCAACCCAGCCATATATACACTTTAACATTCCCTTTAACCACTCAAATCAATCATTCATAAGTGAATGACATGGGAGGGGAGAATAGTGTAAGGATAGGCCAAGGGTAAGTTCAAGATCACTGATCTCGGACGTACTGTGCATTTTGCAGAATTTAATCCTTTACTTGTTGATCTCAGTTACTTGATAATTACTGAAGTCTAAATTCAATTCTTCCCAAATGTATGATAATTACTGTGAGCACGCCCTCACCCAATCCCCTATTCTTGAGATCGTTGCCTTACTGGATATGTCAAACCCCGATTATCTCATTAAGCAAGCCACGTGGATACCTTATTAAGGCCTCTAAATACCTCCAAGGGTCACTTCGAAACGGTAATTAAAACGAACCCAAAGCTTCTTTTACAGTCTTTCTTAAGGTAGACCAGATTATTATTGACTTAAGCATTAGAGTGTTTACCTCGAGGACCAACCTCGAGGCTTTGTAGGGCAATTCAAAGAAAAGACTTGGATTGAAGGAGACTTATTGGTTTGTTGCAATTACAGGACTAACTGAAACTATAAATAACACCTAAATGGAGTTATGAATGGAGTTAAGTGGAACATTGAATAAAGTGAAAGTAAGTTACAAAATGGAAGATAGACAATGAAGTTGAGGGTGGAGATGAAACATGCACCAATACAAAATTCATAATAAATCCCTCTGACTTCTCTAAATTAGAGAGTTTCTATTAGCCTTCCATCTCCGTCTCTTCACTCTCCTCCCTTTCCCTCCAAATTCCTTAATTCAAATTCATTGCAAAAGAAAACTAGTAAAAATAAAGAATAATATTGATTAATATTAATATTTAATGGTCCCTATTTAGCTCCTTTTAATTTTACTCTTTAGATCAAAGAACATAACCTTCATGCTTAAATTATTAAAAGTTTAAACACTAGGTGTTATTTTCATTTTAGAAATGCTACGAGTATATAATGCTGTATCATATTGTACATTACTCAATATGGTGTGACATAATGATGAATAGATGCATATTATATCATATGTGGTCATCATATAATGCCAATCATATATATATATATATTGGGTAGCAAAAAAAGTCAATCATATAATGCCAAATCAAATTTTAAGTATATTATATTTAAAGCTAATGACCAAAATAACTCAGTATAATCTCCTTCCTCTAGAAGTAAAAGTTTCTAAAATCAAGTCGCATTGCATGTGAGTAGGGTAGGTTAAGGGATGGAGAGGGTTTCCCACTGTGCAACCCAAGATCAAAAAAGAAAAGTTTATTGTATTTAAAATAACAAAGAGCCGCCTTTCCCTCTTTCTCTCCCTCTCTTGCCTTTATGCTTCCCTTCTCTCTTGGTTTTCTTTCTCTCTAGTTGGCACCTTTCTCCCTCGCACTGGTTAGGGAGGATGAATAAAAGTGAGATCATCTCCCTCTTCTTTAGAGTTTTCTCTCTCAAAGAGAATTTATCACCTGCTTTTAACAGTTTTTTGCCTAGACATTCTTTAGGGTTCAGTTTGATTCCAAAATTTAGTAATTAGTCGTTCAACAGTCAACAACATAATTAGAGATTGGGGTCTTTCGATAATTTCTCTACATCAAAAGTTGAGACTAGACATACATATGGAATACCTAATAATTAACTATGCTCATATAGGTATTTTTCAACGTTTAATGTATATGCACAGCATCAATAACAACCATTATAGTTTAGAGTAATAGTTGGCTCTAGATTTTAATTGTCCTTTGGTGAAAGAAGCGAAATCTTCTATAATTAGAGTTTTAGCTATAATCTACTTTTGGCTACCTGCTATCTTGATAGCCTTCTTGTAGAGCTCAATGTAATATCTTCTCTTTATTAATGAATTATATTTATTTACCTTAAAAAACAATAAAAATATATTATGCATATGGTTTAAACCATTTAGACAAAAGATAAGTTTATTAAGATTATTTTTTATTTAACAATTTTTATTTTACAATCAAGTATAATTTAAAATTTAAATTATAAAACAAAAAATTTTAAAAAAAATTGTACGTCTATTATTTATTCTTTTTGTAGAATAATGTTGCCATCACGTGAGCCTGTGGTCTCTTTTTCTCTTGGTGATATCCAGCAAGCAAACGTTAAAGGTGTTCAGAATTTTAGGTTCTTCTCGGGCAAGTCGATCTAAACATTATAAGCCAAGAGAATTTTGGTATCGATCAGATCGGATAGACGAAATTGAACTTCTAAAAATGTCGATTAATAAATTGGTGGATATCAATAGAAGTTTCCATGATATATATAAATAGTGAGTACAATTGGATCATCCTCATTTATGTAATCAAGTTATCAAGATATTAAATGAACACGAGAGATTCATAATTGTTTATGAGGAAAACTGAGTTTTCAAATCACAAATCATTGAGGCTACAAATACTTCTATTTTGAACTATGGAAGATATTTTATTTATGATTGTATATATTATAGTATTAGTCAGCAAGTTGCGCACCATTATGGACAAGACAAGAATAGACAAGACTTATTATCATTTTCTCCCATCAGACGAGATTTATTTATTTTTGGACGGTCCCAATTCGTAATACAGAAAAAAAAAAAAGAGGAAGGAAGAAGAAATCATATACACTAAAGATAGTCAAATTCATCAATAACTTGTTGGTCTGAATGCATGATACTCGATTTTTTTTAAATAAAATTTTGTATATGAATCTTTTAAATGAAAAAATAAGTGTTGGAAGAACTTTCTTTTTAATGAGATCCGGCCTGATTTAATTCTGGATTAATTAAGATTTAATATGATTACTGGATATCAAAAGATTAGTAAAAAAAAAACCAAATTAAAGTAATCTTTATTTTTTACTAATTTACATGGAGAGGAACTCTTTTAGGATTTATTTTTTTATTTATAAAATTTAAATTTAAAATTTTATTTTAAAAAAATTAAATTCACTTCATTTAAATTAACAAGTCATTCATAAATTAAAATACTCTAACTCCAATTTAAAGGCATTTTCCGGACTTGAGAAATTTATGATGGTGTTTTGATTGTATTCTTTCAAAAAAGTAGATCAACAATTAGTTATTTAATTTTTTTAAAATAATTTGAAATTATTTATATATATTAATTAAAGAATAAAAAAATAAATTTTATGAAGTTCGAACATGTCACACCTTCAAAGGATGAACAGTCCTAATTTAAGATTTATGGTAGTGGAGCACAGGTCATTCAATAATGAGTTATTTAATTAAATAAATTAAATAATTATAAATTATAAATAATAATATAATTATAGTATTATATAAAACTATAAATTTGTAATTAAAAATTTTAATTTAATAAACATAATGTCTTATTAATTAAATATATATAATATTATTAATAAATTTTTAAATAAAAAATTAATTATATAATAATATTATATTATAAATTTATAATTTTTCATAACATGTAACTATAATATTTTTGTATAAATAATAGCAATTCAAACATCCACTTAAATGTTTTTAGAAAGAACTTTAAACAATCTTTTATAAATATTAGTAAGATATTTCACTTAAAATTAATACAACTCTCTTAATTTTTATTATATATTTTTCATAATCTCTTATGTTTCTCTTGACTTAAAAAAGAGATTTTTCTCTGCAAATAAGAAAAAAAGAAGAAGAAAAATATCTATCATGAAATTGATTTTTCCTCTATTTTATAAACAAAAATGAACGGTGCTAACGTTCACCATGTGACATGTGTTTACTTGTGAAATGATATCCACGAAATATTCCTCGTTAATCCCAGATTTTCTTCGAGAATTATGAAATTTGAAATATCAAACTTATCCCTGCCCTTCACCTGTTCTCAACCAATCTTCCCGGTCCAGTGCGTAATATAATGCAAAAGTAGAGGCATATTGTTTTTGTCCGATCCCGTCGATTTCAGATCTGCCACATAAAAATAGCTGTCCACGTCGCACTCGCAGAGTAGAGTGAGTCGGAAAAAGCTTAGCACGATGGCGGGCATGGTTGCGATCGGTTCTTTGAGATTGCCTTCTTCCTCTTCATCGGCTTCATCGAGTTCTTCGAATATGAGTCGGAGAGTGCCTGCTACAAGCATGCCGTTCTTGGCATCAACTTTCACGGGTGAAAAGATTTCTTCCAAGGCGTTTTCAGTTAATCGCCGGTCAACAGGGAGGACTCCGTTGATTGTTTGTCCAAAAGCGGTTTCGGATTCCAAGAATTCGCAGACTTGCCTTGATCCTGACGCTAGCCGTGTGGGTATTTTTAGCAACAAATATCACTGTTTCTTTGGTGTGTGTTCTGCTTGATTGATGTGAAAATTGTGAGGCTTCGTAAAATAGAAAGATTCATTGTGAATTTGTGAATTATTTTGTTCTGTGTTGTTTTTAGCAAGATCCTGCCTTTTCATTTCACCATTGAAATTTCATAATCAGCTATTTATTTCTGTTTAAGTAATCCCTACGGATGGATCTGGAGGCAATATAACAGCAATTTTACTTTAAGTTTAGCTGCCTACTTTACGTTGATGGAATTTATGGTGATAAAATGTTGCTGCTGATCTGTGTTCCAGCATTATCTGCCTTGGGATCATGATCTGAATACTTTTCTTTGTTCATAAATCATCACATCTTCCCAACAGTTGCTTCTGATTTATGATTTCCAATTTTCAATTTCCAATAAGAATAATACAATAGAAAACAAAACCTTTTCTAATTCTGAAATAGATTCAAATGAATTTTCTTATGTGTTATTTAGCAAAGTTTCAAGTTATGATCATATATTTCCGATCTTGATGATTCTTAACAGAGTGTCCTGGGAATTATACTTGGAGGTGGTGCCGGCACTCGTCTTTATCCACTTACCAAGAAGAGAGCAAAACCAGCTGTTCCTTTAGGAGCGAATTACAGGCTGATTGATATCCCTGTGAGCAACTGTTTGAACAGTAACATATCAAAGATTTATGTTCTTACGCAATTCAATTCTGCTTCTCTCAATCGCCATCTGTCCAGAGCGTATGCTAGCAACTTGGGTGGGTACAAGAATGAAGGTTTTGTTGAAGTTCTTGCAGCTCAACAGAGTCCAGAGAACCCAAACTGGTTCCAGGTAAGAAGACCATCTTAGGATTTATGTATTGGAATGCTTTTCATCTTCGTTGTTGCTGTAGAACCATTTGCGTATGAAAAATCATATGGACACAATTGACTTCACGGTTTTTATTGGTTGTTTGTTAAATTATTCATTTTTTAGTCTCCAATCTCATAATTTTGACCTAAAATTTGGTTGTTTAGGGTACAGCTGATGCTGTGAGGCAGTATCTCTGGTTGTTTGAGGAGCACAATGTATTGGAGTTTCTCATTCTTGCAGGGGACCATTTGTACAGAATGGATTATGAAAGGTTTATTCAAGCTCACAGGGAAACTGATGCTGATATCACTGTAGCTGCACTACCAATGGATGAAAAGCGGGCTACTGCATTTGGTCTGATGAAGATTGATGAAGAAGGACGTATAATTGAATTTGCTGAGAAACCAAAAGGAGAGCAACTGAAAGCTATGAAGGTATACTCTCATACTGATTTGTTTACATAACACAGTTTCTCTTTGCATTAAGCTGTTATAGATTCTGGTTATAATATTAATTATCTTGTTTTAGGTTGACACCACAATTTTAGGTCTTGATGATGAGAGAGCAAAGGAGATGCCCTACATTGCTAGTATGGGTATTTATGTTGTCAGCAAAGATGTAATGCTGGAACTTCTAAGGGAGAAGTTTCCTGGAGCCAATGATTTTGGAAGTGAAGTCATTCCAGGTGCTACCTCCATAGGGATGAGGGTAAAACATGTCTTCTTGTAGCATAACCATATTCTTCAGATTATGAATATGATAAAACAGAAGTGTTTGAAACACAGAAATAAGTTTGTCTTTGTGTTTTTGATGTACATGGAAGTAATTTATCATAAAACATGGATAGTTATTACCAAGAAGATGATTTCTCTGGTCGTCAAGCTTCTTCTGCTACAATAACATGTGTATTATGCGTTGTCTGAAGAGCAAATTATCAGTTGTTTCTCTGTGCTAATTAACAGTCCAAACTCCCAAGCACTATTATGTAAAACACATACTCGTTAGTACCGCATGCTGTTCTGTGAAGAAGTTTTACTTTTATTCAAAAAGAGTTAGCTGTGACATACAATTATCATATTGGCTTCAAGCTCGAATGTTTATGCATGTTATCAATCTTTCTATGTCGGATTACCCCTCTTCATTAAATTTTACTTGAACTACTAGTTTCTCTGGTCTAATCCCTTGTTAATCTGTTTAGGTTCAAGCTTACCTTTATGATGGATACTGGGAGGATATTGGTACCATTGAAGCATTTTATAATGCAAACCTGGGAATTACTAAAAAGCCAGTGCCAGATTTTAGGTTGGTCTAGTTCATCAATTCTTTGTCAAGTAACCACCACCTGATGGATCATAATGTTGATTTGCCTATTTGGACTTCCATTGCAGCTTCTATGACCGTTCATCTCCAATTTACACTCAGCCTCGATATTTGCCTCCATCCAAGATGCTTGATGCTGATGTGACCGATAGTGTAATTGGTGAGGGTTGTGTCATTAAGGTGAGTTTCAAATGTTGATGACCTATTAATATCTTGTGGCCTTGTTGTTGGTATATGATATTCATGAGCTATAAATCAGGTTAGACAATTCTTGAGATTCAATATCCTGGCTCTTGGTTTATTGCAGAACTGTAAAATTCACCATTCTGTGATTGGTCTCCGATCTTGCATTTCAGAAGGAGCCATCATTGAGGACACCTTATTGATGGGAGCAGACTACTATGAGGTAATAATCCTTGAAATTTTACATTTTCACATTTCTATCATGTAGCAGATATCCATAATTGTGCTAATTTTTATGTTTATTAGGATATCAGTTGCATCTATAACATGTCTGATTCCTTCATTGTCTTGTTCCAGACCGATGCTGACAGGAGATTTCTGGCAGCAAAGGGTAGTGTTCCAATTGGTATTGGGAAGAACTCTCATGTCAAGAGAGCAATTATTGACAAGAATGCTAGAATTGGGGACAATGTAAAGGTTGTCATTTATCTATAACTTGCTGTATTTAAATTTAATCTTGATTTGATGGTCATGATTTCTTCACCTTTTCCTCAAGGATAGTCATGGTCTGCTGTTTTGCACTGATTATTGCCTAAATCTCACCAGGCATGCTCATTCCAGCATTCTAGTTCTACTTGGAAGTTACCTAAAACAAAAATCAATCTCAAGTCTTTCTCATTTCCTATCATGCTTGTAGGCATTGCTAGTTGTTTTTTTTTTTTTTTTGAAGAGATGATCTTTAGTCAAATTAATTGTCAGATGATGGTTTTCCTTCATCGCTTGAATGAGAATAGAAGATTGAAATGTCAAAGGAAAATATCCCATCTCAATTTCTGTATTTTTGTTTTGCTTTTACTAAGCACTAAAGCCCTGCATGAATGCATGCCAGTCTCAAATGTCACATCATTTTTATCACATATGTTCAGGGGTATATCTCAGGTTTATATGTTTGACATTAAATGCCACTGTTTCAGATCATCAACAGTGACAATGTGCAAGAAGCTGCAAGAGAGACGGATGGATATTTCATCAAGAGTGGGATTGTCACAGTAATAAAGGATGCCTTGATTCCAAGTGGAACCGTAATCTAAGACTTGCACGCTGACTGCTAGTCAGAGGTACTTTTTATTCCTGAGAAAGGAATGACATAGCGAATATGCTTCACTTGTTCTTTCCTTTTTAATCTTCACGGTAATGCCTTTTCCATTTATGTTAGTATATCTTGAGGCGATAAATTTTAGTGGAGGAAGAGAGCCAGAGGACATCTGGGTGATGCTGTAAAGGTCTTGTTCTACTCTAATAAAAGCGTTTAGTTTTGTTTATAAATTGCTTGCATTTTTTCATGCCTCAGTCTACTCGTCCTTGTTAGAATTTGATGATTAGGAATAACACATTAATATCACGTGTAATTGGTTCAGTGGAATGATTATTCCTCCGTGTTACATCGAATACACTAGTTTAAGTTACTCTGATAATATACTGAGTCTCAAACAATTTTCTTCTATTAAGGTAAGAGAATGGCTAATATCATGTTTAGTTTGACTGAAATGGAGGAAAAGAAATGAAATTTCGTTTCGTCCATTTCACAAATATGAAACTAGAAAGAAGAAATAAAGAAATGAAAAAGATGTAGAATTTATTTTACATATTTGTTCTAAGAATATTATATTTTTGATTGAAATTGAACAGGTATTCATTATCTGTTCGATTACAGAATTGTTAAGTATTTTTGATAAATCCTTCAAACAATTTAAAAGTACGACCTAGAAAATACTTTTCTCATATATATATATATAATATATATATATATATAACTTTAAAAACATTACCATTTAGTGAATATTTTCAAAAACATTCCATTGATATAGATCATGTCAAATTTTAAGTTGATTTAATATCTATAATTATTTGGTAGAAAAACTTATATTTTTCAATATATATTTAGTAGTGATAAATTTTTTATAATTATTAAATTAGTTATATAAATTCAATTAAGTTAAAAATTGATATTTATGATTTATATTAATAAAATATTAAATTTAATGATTAGTTTTTGAAAATATTCATTGAAAAATCATATTTTTAAAGTTAAAACTCGAATATTTTTTTAGAAATTAAGACTGTTATGCGCCATAGATGTTTAATTTTATATTTCCGGCTTCTTTCATTCTACCTTTTCTAAGCCTCTTCACTCCTCTTTATAATTGTTTTGGAATTATATTTTTGGAAAATTGTTTATGGATGATTCTATCTTCCTTGTACTGTACGTTTAATATAATGCCTAAACTATCAGAAAGTTCTCATGGCTGCTAATTGCTCCTAACTCTTTTTCTTGTGTTAATACTTTTTATATAATCATAATTTTTTGTTTTGTCCGGATGAAAAAATTGTCTTCAATTTCACCTTTTTAAATGAAAAAGTAAATGTTTTTAAAATGAAAAAGTAAGGCTCCGTTTAGTATAGTTGTATTTTTAATTCTGATTTTTATAAATTTGACAACTACTGAAAATCGAAAATCAAAAATCAAAAATAAAAAATTTGTTTAAAACAAATTTTAATATTGGAAAATAAAAATATTTACAAGTTTAATAGTATTAAAACTATTTTTTTCTTTTTTCTTTAACAATTATAATAATATATTGCAAAAACATATGAAAGTAAACGAGTGTTTTTATTTAGAGCTACAAAATTATTTTAGTTGATTACCCACTTAAAATTTCAAAATAAATAAAAAGTTAGGTTTTTATGATAAAAAAAAAAAAATCAAAGTTACCACTTATCTAAATTATAAAGTGAGATAAATTACTTAAAAATTATCCACATGGAGATTGAGATTTGAGGATATAGTTAAGAGGGAGGAAGAGCATATGCAGTCTTCACAATCCTTGGTGTAGAACATGATTGCATACTTTAAATTTTGGGAGTTTATTTAAGCTTATAGACATCTTTTAAGTTAATGGCCTTAAAACAGAACACAAACAAAAATGCATGGATATAAGTGTGAGTATTGAAAGACTTGGGGCTTAATTGGATGAAATTGAAAATGTGTATGCTCAATCAAAACAAATCAAACATTACAGACTGAAGTGAACAAAGTCAGAAACTTTTGGGGGCACATTTGGAATGACGAATAAATATTTAAATTAAAAATATGTGATTTCAATAAAGTATTATAGAAAAAGATTAAAAAAGAGGTTTCATTCCTTCTTACTTGAAAAATAGGTTAGTCTTTTTTAATTAAATGTTCTTAAAATAACGTAATTATAAGTATTTTTCTTTTTAATTTTTTAGAGTTCAACTAATAATATTTTTTAATTTTTTATATATCATTTGTTTTTTAATTCAAATTGCATGGAATTGCAAAACATTTGAATTGCAAAACAAGGTCTATTAGAGGCCCTCCAAATATGTTAGATTTCATTTTCATTCAATAATTAGTGTTGTGTAATTTGTACACTTTTTTTGTTAATCAAAAAAATCTAAATACTTTTTCCTATTAGTATTATAAAGTTATGCATTTAATTAATATAACATATTTATAGCAGATATGATGTGGTATGGTTTGCAAGCGGTACTTTGTAGATATTGTATTGATAACTTTTGACTTCGACTTCACAAATGTTCAACGCAAAATAAATTAAAAGTTACGTTAATTTATTTCAAAATTCACCAAAAAGCAAAATGCAAAAAGGCAAAAAAAAAGACTTGTGCTTCAAGCTGCGCATCTAGAACACCATGGGGCTGCTCTCATTCCCTTGCCATGGTGGGAACTTTCCTTTCGTAAGTGAAAGAAAACCCATCTAATAAACTCAAAAGAATCTTTTTTGGTATATCAAAAGGTTAACTACTTGATATCACAAAAGTTTTAATCTTTGATTTTGATTTTAAATTAAAAATTTTAAATTAATTGATATCAACTCAGTTCAATTTTTGTTGGTTAAACTTAGGAGATTCTTGTTTTGTACTTTAAATTATTTAAAGTACAAAATAAAAATTGTTCAATAGGAAAAGGGCTTTTAACATTAAAAGAATCATTCTCTAATTAACAATTTTAATTAAGTAATCAAGCATAATCTAAATTACATATCAATTTTATATAAACTCAATATCAACGATATATTAATTTAAGTGGAAAGAACTTGATATCCCTTAAATAAAATTTCGAATTTAACTTTTATGAATCAAGAGATAAGTGTTAAGAGAGCTTCCTCCTTATGAGATTCGACCCGAATCGACTTCAGATTAATCGAAATCCAATGTGACTTGCGAATACGAGGGGATTTAGTATATATAAAAAAAAAAATGTTCTCTCAACCTCTTATTTCCCAAAAACCTAGACCCTAGCCCAATTTTTTCCTTTCCCTACACGGCATGCTGTTCTAGGGGTGCTGTTGTGTAAGAGGTTTGTGTGGTCATCCCTAGGGGGTGGGTTAAAAAATCCACAACCAAAAAAAATTTGAAAATTAATGAAACAGTAATTGATGGGTAGAATTTAATTGAGTTTTGAGTTTGTTTAACTAAAAACCAAACTGAATCAATTTTAAATGGTTTGGGTTTTGGTTGTTAAGTTTAAAAACTAAAAAACCAATGAGTATGGTGAGTATAATAAAAAAATTCAGTCCAAAAACTTTTATATAAATTTTTTAATGGTTTCTAGATTTTTTTTAAGGCTTTATAGTCATTTTTAACCAATTTATTTATTTATTTGTGTAATTTTTAGTTTTTTAAGTGATAGATTAATAAATAATAATTAAGAAATTAAAAAAATAAAAATATTAAAATAATTTGGTTAAAACCTCATTTCGTCCCTCTACTTTAACAAAAAGCTCCTTTTAGTTCCTTTATTTAAGAAAGCCCCTTTTAGTTCATAAAATTTATTATTCAGCCCATTTTTAATCCCTTTGTTATTTTTTTGCACCATAATGTATTAGATGATAGATATTTCAAAGTAAAGAGACTAAAAAGGGACTTTTTAAAGTAGAGAGAGCAAAAAGGAATTGTTTTTAGTTCCATTTTAGTTTTTTTACTTTAAAATTTCTATCATCTAACATTCCATATGTGCAAAAAAATAACGAAGAGGTTAAAAAGGAACTTTCCTGAGTAAAGGGACTAAAAAGAGATTTTTTTTTGGTTAAAATAAAGAGAACAAAATGAGGCTTTAACTTATAATATTTTAGTTAAAATAAAAACTAATCTAAATGGTTACTTTAAAAAATGCAACCAAAATCAATAAAACCTATCTTTCTCGGTTTAGTTAATGGTTACTAAAATTTAAAACCTAAAATTTTGATTAACTGATGGTTGAACTGAAACCAAACCATGCCCACCCCTAGTCATCCCACCATTGGATTTTCATTTTTCATAGTTCCTCTATCCCATAATAATTGTCATTTTTTTTTGCTTTTGCTCCAAATTAAGAATTTGAGGATCATTTATGCATTTACTTATCTTACCATTAGGAAAAAACTAAAAAATAAAGTAAAACTTTTTGTGATAGGATAATTAATTAAAATAAATAGATAATGATAAAATTAAAATAAAAAAAATAAATGTTTAGGTTAAAAAACAAAAAAAGACAATTAATTTAAGATAAATCTAAAATTAAAAAATAAGAATTATTTTGAAAAAGAGGGATTATTTTTTAAAGATTTTGAATACGGATTTTTTAACCGTCACTGAGTTTTTGCAGGAGTTGACTAGGTAGTATAAGGTGTGATATTTATTAATGGTTCACGACATCATGCCATCATATTTGAAAATAATTTTGGATCAGTTTTAGAAGGTTAATGGTCTGCTCGGTTAGTAAACAGGGACGGAGCCAATGTAGGACAATGGGAAGCAGCGGCCCCCCTGAGCTTTAGAAAACTTTCAAATATGCTATATTAATTTTTATTTTCTACAAAATTTTGTTTTCCGGTTTTTGAATTATTGGAATCATTTCAAATATAAAGAAAATATTTAAAAATTAGGTAAAGGAATCTTTTCTTTCTTTGTGATTAATTTTTAAGATATGATGATAATTTGGTCTAAGTAACAAAAAATATTAAAATAGTCAAGGTCTAATTAGTTATATTAATGTAATTTATATAAGTTTTTGTATTAGTTATATATAATTTTTTGTACAATTTATATTCTATGAAAATAATGGTTGAATTTATTATATTTATATAAATCATACATTTCAAATTTAAAGTTGTTTTGATATAGGTAGCCATTCAAAAAAATAAACTATATTTTTATACTATTTATTTAAGAATTTTAAAGTATATATCATTCAAAAATAACTAAATATATGTAATTTTATTAATAAAACTAAATATATCTAATCAATTTTAAAGTTTTGCATGCATAACTTAAGTAGTATCTACACAAAATCAACAACCAATATAAAAACTAATATAAATTATACTAGCAAAAACTAATAAATGATTCATAAAAAATTTGAACTTTTTACCTTCCCTAACTTT